CGACGGTACCTGTTCTCCTCCTACATCATTACTGGTCAGCTGCTCCGGCCTGATCTCCAGCAGCTCAACACGTCCTTTCATGGAGTTGGCTTCCAAAACCTGCAGAGAAAGATGCTTTCATGTTGATATACAGGACGTAAGAAGCAGGATAAGTTATATGAAACCATTTTATCATCTTTTTACCAAAACGAAACATGAATAAAAATCATACAGTGCCTGAAACATTTCAAAGCATCACCACTGAGAATGATCTGAATGATTACCTCATCAATAACCTGTTTAGACATTTGGGAGTTCTCCAAACCGAACACCTGAGTAGAAAAGGAAACGCAGGGAAGTGAAAACAGGCGTGACGCTGATGATGTCACGAAGCCACAGTATCTGTGAGGTGAAAGCGGCGTACCTTCTTGGCTCCGAGCATGTGAGCGAAAACAGGAAGCAGACTCCCGTCGCTGACGCTGAGACACACGCCGTCCTCTCTCAGCACCTGAAGTTCACCCAGCTCGTTAAACCGCAGTCGTATTCGAGAATATATGAATTTACACAGGCGGCCTCGATGCCTCCACTTACGCTGCGCAGAGCGCTGACGTAGCTCTCCGTACGCCGTCTGTCGTTAAGTTCGCCGAAACGCGGCCGAGTCCAAACCAGGTGAGCCTGGCAGGTGCAACATGGCCGAGAGGGAGGAGCCTCAGTCTGTGAGCCCCGCTGGCTGAAACGATCGACATTCAGACCCGTTTGTGAGTAATGTCTGATAATTCAAGTTATTGCTGTTAAACGTGGTTCTACCATCCACAGGATGCAGTTTTTCACTCATTCAGTGAGAACAATCGCACTGATGTCTTCTTGTTGAGCTGCAGGCAGATTCAAGAAGTCTCTTAAATAAATTGTTCAAAGCGTATACATGAGCAAGCTGTACCTGCGAGGCTGCAGGCTGTACCACAGACTGTAGTCATCGTGGCAGACCATCAGGCTCAGCTCCTCTCCTTCTGTCACCTGGCTCTCCACAGGCAGGAAGTACACGCTCTGCATCCAGTGGTCGCGCCACTGAAAGACACGACAGTGACCGACGATTTATCGATTTACTTTTTGACCAAAAAAACTGTAAAGTGAGTCAAACCTCAGCTGTTTATGCAAAGCTAAGAAAATACTAGGGATGCACCGATAC